AACAGCTGTTGATCTCAATGAATTTGCTCAGAATATCAGTAATCTAGGAGGTGAATTTTCTAGACAAGCACAGAATTCTTCAGCACCACTTAAAGCCAAGTTAACTGTAAGTTCACACTTTGTTTTAGAAAATGTCAGAAATTTACTCTGTACTGTTTTTGAAAATTAGTCATTGTTCACCTTATGGCCTCTTTTTAAATAATTCAAAAGGCCTTAAGGACTAACATATCCCATACTGATGAAAATAATGCTGATCAATATGTTTCATGTTATTTTAAAATTCTATAACAAGGGTTAGAAATCAGTACAGATCTAGTTTGTTTTTGAAATTGATGTGATTGCTTGAGTCTGAGCTAGTTCTTGTGACTACTGAGGAAAGCCACAATACATATGTTCAGTGTAGCCCTGAATTACTATCCTTGCTTAATTGAAAATTAAAGTCATCTCATTGTTACTGTTTTATGTACCTCTAGGAACTGTCACAAAAAGCGAATGACACTGCCGCAGCCCTGCGCACTCTACAGGCGACTGTAGTGAAGGATATGGAAGATAAGTCGGTTAGGAAATACATTTCCTTGTCAATATGGTTTGTTGAATTTTTAAATTTACAAAGGTTCTTCATGTAACCAGGGTTCTGAACATTAATTACAGTATCTTACGTAGATTAATAAGCTACCAACAAAGCCACGTAGCCCTTTAAGTGGGTTCATGATTCTTCCTTGGAAGGTTTTTAATTTAGTTGTAATACACAGCTTTTGGAGGGGAGATTTATTTGACTATTGATTGAAATAATTATCATGTGTTATTCAACTACTACATAATTTTTTTGTGCATAGGGTATTTCATGTGATTAATCTTTTCAAGACTTTTTTTAAGTCGAAGAGAAACAATTTTTAAGTTGCTTAAGATAATACAACTTAATGGGTGAATTACAATACTGGTTTAATTAATTTATGTATATTTTCTTAACAGATAGAGTTAAATCAAAATGTGAGTGCCCTGAAAGATATCGGAGGAGATCTCAAGGTAAATCGTTTTTTGCTTACGCTTTAAGCAAAGAAAAGGCTTAAGTAACCTTGGGGATGAAACTACTACACTATTTTGTTTTTCTTGATGTTGACGATGTTTTCGCAAGGAAAAATTGATCTGAAATCAACAATTTGTTATTTACTTCTCGAGTTCGCTATACATAAACTCTTACAAAACATGGAACAACAACTGTTTGCTTTCAAGCAGATACTTTTTGCACAGTGAGGTTCATGTCAATAGCTCTTCCTTTTTGCTTGGTCATTGCTGAGGGTTGTAACCTTACAACCATTCAGGCAGGCATTACAAATGGAATTGGTGTCATTGAAAATGTTGTTGGTCACCGAGGTTTTGAAGATAAATTATTGTTTAGTTGTTTGTCTCATGATGTAGAGTCAAGCTAACAGTTTTACTTATCTCAATGTTTTAACTACTATATACTGCAAGTCTTTGTTAGAGAATGAGGCCTGAAGTTTGCTGTAAGTTATTCATAGCAAACAAAGGTGCTATAACCTAGATCAAACAACCAACAGCAAACCAAGGTGCTATAAATAGCAACATGAAAACTTTCAACCTTGTTGCCTGACAAACACTTGTAGTATAGCAGTCAAAACATTACAATCAATACAATTGATAGCCCGACACTACATTTTGATTGTTCATTATTTGATATGTAAAGATACCAGGTTGATAGAGTCAAATTGTACATCCTTCAGCTCGAGTACTCACTACTAAGAATGTGCATTATAACATAGTCCTATTTGACCATAATCTCCTTAACATGGCAGTCAGTTTAGCTGTAGAAAAATGACTGTTGAGGTACATAAAATTTGCTTTCTTTTAGTTGTTGATTTAACCCTTTAACTCCCAAGATCTCATTAGTAATTCTCCTTACTGTCTGCTATACAATTCTTGTGATGTTAGTTCAGAGAATTTGGTACTGGATCAACTAATAATCCCCTAATTGATCTTTATTCTCACTGCTTGTCTGCTTGACATGTTATTTATATTGTAAGGAGAAATTCTGTCTTGGTCACTCATGGGAGTTAAAGGGTTAACATTATTTTGCTTTTAGCAACTAGCAAACAATACTTTGAAAGAAGCCCAGAAAGCAGAGAGCTATCTTCATACTCAATCAGCTACTAACATCAACAAAGTAAGTACTGACATACTTTTTTTTTTGTGAAAACACAATTAAATAATAGGAAACGAAAACGGTAGGGGATTCATGATTTGGTGATAAAGTCTTTTACTCAGCTATAACTTTTCCACTTCTGCAAAATTCTTCGTGTGTTTATATGGTCAATTCTTCCTTTTTTAAGGGTAATTCTGGGCACCTGTGAGTTCAGATCTAACTGCACTGTCTGCTCATATCTAACTGTACTGTCTGTTGCTAATAGTTATCAAGTTTTAGCTTTCAATTATTGGCCCTGAAAAATGTTGTAAGTTGTAGGGTAATGTTTCATGAAACCTATGGTAGACTACTTGTACTCACTATAGAAAAGTGAATGTAATTTAAAAAGGCTAATGCTGTCAGAGTAGAAGATTTTCAAATAAATAACCTTTTCCTGGAGAGCCTGACACAAGCAAATATGGTTGCAGAAAATTATCCTAGTGAGTGGTTAATTAGAAAGCAAAAAAAAAAAGAAAAAAAGAAAAGAAAGCAAAAAAAGGAAAACCAAATATTCAAACAAATGAACAAATAGGAGGTCAAATGAATGTTTCGCAATCACTGGTAGATTCCCAGTTATGATCTGGCTGTGGTCAAGGCCATAGTATTGAGATGATTCATCTCTCAAATCAGTTTAACTTGTAGCAGGCATTAGATCAAGTGTCAATGTAAAAATCAAGAGGGTTGAATTAAAATTAAAAAGAAAGATTGTCAAGAATTAAAGTGCTGATCAATTTTCTGCATGCGTTTGCCATTGTTAATCTTAATGTTTGTTGCGTTTGTTTTGGTGTAGATTGTACAGAACTTCACTGATCGAGTGTTAGGTTGGGGATTTCAGTTCACAGATCACATTAAAGACCTTGTAAGTAATGGACATATTAGAAATTTAGACTTGTGTGGAGCTGTTTGATTCCTGAAACAGATAAAGAACAAGCTTCAGTGTATAATTGAAACCTTAAAGCGATTCTTGAAATTAGTCAGCGTGATTATACATGTATTTTGTTTGTGTTTATAAGAACATTTTACTGTTGATTGTCCATGGCTACATCTAGTTCTCCTTAGCTGCACATTTTTTTCGCAGGGAATGTATGTATTTACCTTTATGATAGGACAGTCAGTCAAAATATTCTCTCTTGTGTGCTATGTAAGGTTTTACTGAGGGGATTTTTTTGGTTTATGTTTCAAGTAATATATATTCTTTGCTTTCAATCACTTAGCTAGACAATAGTTTGGCTAAATGTATTCTCTCTTGTGTGCTATGTAAGGTTTTACTGAGGGGATTTTTTGGTTTATGTTTCAAGTAATATATATTCTTTGCTTTCAATCACTTAGCTAGACAATAGTTTGGCTAAATGTAAACCTGTGGCGAACATTTACGATGCAACTATTGTTATAATCTGCAAGCAAGCCCTGTACCCATTTGTAAGTCACATCTTACTGATCTTTGATTCATTTTAATCTTAAGCATTTGTACATATTTCATTATTGATTTGATAGTTAGCAACCAAAAACCCAACAGTTATTATCAACTATTATTGGTAAAAATTTGATTGACAGGCCAACTGACAGACCGACCAACTGTCATGATTGATTTTCATTATTAATTCATTAAAGAATAGATGATTTATGATGAATAAATTGTTATCGGAACACAAGTATAATTTCTTTCTTTTTGTTTGTTTGTTTCAGAATGGTTTCTGGTTCTCCATTGGATATTGCCTGTTCTTTTTCATCCCTGCAATAATTTTCTGTGTTAAACTTGCTAAACATTATCGCCGAATGGATTACGAGAATGAATTTGATCAGGATGTGTAAGTAACTTACTGCTATGACTTAACGTTCTGCAATTTATGAAATACAAATTTGGTTACTTATGGTCAAATCTGAAAGTGATGTGGAGTCCTTTTTTGTTTTGTTTTTCACTTGAATGGATCTCTTAACAACAAAAAGAGGCTAGTGTCATGTTTAAAAGCGTACTTGTTTGTTATTCTTAGAAAAAGATTGTTAGATCAGTCGTTATTTCCGCACCAATTTCCAACTACTGGAAACTTGCGGGCAGTACTTTGACTATTGTTGTGTTGTCTGTTTAGGGAAGCGTTCGAAATGGGACATCATTATCCATCAGCCCCACCTCAGTACCCTTCGTAAGTATAGTTAATTTGTATACAGTGCTTTCGATAACACCTGGCCCCCGGCGGGTATTCTGTTGTGAATCGCCGGGTATACTCTGCCATGTCCAGGTCAAATTTACAGAACAAAAAGGTAAATAAACAACGTAGAAAATAACAGTCAATTTAGTACTGGAGTAATCACCCCAGTTATTTTTTTAATTCTATAGTCTTTGTTAGATTCATTCTTTCATTGTTAGATTTATACTTTCTCTGCTTGTTTCGCGTGTATTATAAAAGTTAATCACGCTCGAAGTAGAAGTACACATCGTCTGTTACCTAAATAGTTTTCAAACAAATTTGTGCTGAACTTAAATCATTAAATACGTTTAGATAAATAAAACAACAGCAGCTCTTCTCAGCTGCTGGTTGGAAAACAAACTTGAAAATCAAAATTAGTTAAAACAGCTCGCTTGTTGATAGCTTTATAAATAAGGTTTGAGTAAAAAACGATCGATATTGTCTTATCATACCGTAAACCAAATTTCCAGGAAAAATAAGATTTTGAATTTACGAAAACATACTGACTAAAATTCAGTAACCAGTAACCAGTAACTACATGTCCTTTTAGAGGAGTTTTTGTGTGAAACTCAGGCAGCAGGTTTGTAAGTCAGCACATGGAAGATTTTGAGTAGAATTAAACAATCATTTAAACATTTGTTACAAAGGAGTAAACTAATATTAAATAATCAATTACCAAAGTTCGCCACAGAAAACTCTGTTTGAAGCAATTTTACTCCAATGGAACTAATGGGCGAACGAGATCGAAATTTTTTTTCGTATTATCTTCTGGCGGGTGCTTTACCGAGGTAGCCACTTACTTCAAATCTTATTGAAAGCACTGCACTGTGTATTTTGAATTTTGATGTTATTGTTGTTTTCCAGTCAATAAAAGAGAAGTTATTCTTGTATTTTTTGGGTTTGAACTTTTAATACTATCACTGAATGACCGGTAATGTTTTTTGTTACTGTAGGGGCGGCGAAAAGAAACCATGGGCTAACCCGAAGTAAGTGATGGAAATATTACTAATTGCTCTAATATTTAAACATTGTCAAACCTGTGTGCGGAGTGACTTGGGAACGTCATACTCGCTTTCATTCATTGACCCATTCAGTCCTCCATTTTCTCTATTTATGTATCTAGGTTTTTTTCACTTGTTGAAATGTTTTTGCTCTCAAATCACTTGTTAACTTTCATCTATTCGTGGTTTTTTTATGTTAGCTTTTTGTTGTTTTTAGTTTTCATTTATTTGGTCTACCTGACCAAACTAACAACATTTAACATGCATTGACTTAAGTTTAAATCGACTTATTGATAGGGTTACTTTGATGACATTTAACTGGGATTTTGCTCTATTAGTGGTTTTTCTTATATCTTAACTTCGGATAAATTTGCAGCTGCTAACCATTTGAAGGTGAAGGGTGCAGAGTTAAATCAGGGAGAACATAAGTAGTCTCTTGAAACCTCTCTAAACATTGATTGAAAGCTAAACTTTAAAGCTAACAAGTAATTTTAACGGGGGCTTGGTTTTTCTAAACATAAACCAGTAACTTTTAAAGGAGAATGGTTGGTGTTGGGTAACGCGTGAGAGCTTTACTCTGCTTCAAAACAATCATTTCTGTGCCATTCTGTGATACATGCATGAAGAGGTGGCCCAAATTTAAGGTGGCTGTGAGAGGAGTCGCTTGAAGGTTGGGTTATTTGATTAACTCGAATGTCGACGTCTGAGCAAGGTAAAGCCGTAGCCTTAGTCTTGGAGAGTCTTTGCAGCCGTTACTAGGGAAGCCAATGCCCTCCTTACCACAAACACGTGCTTTTCAAAGCGCAAAATCTTTTGCTAGCAACTTTCCTAATAACAATTTTTCCTTCTGCAATCTCGAAGCAGACCGTGGGAAAACCACAAATCAATAGGTATCCGATTAATTCTGCTGGGTATCGTTGAGCAATGTCTCCCAGTCAGTGGGATTGGCAAAGATTGGAGAGAGAGTGAGATATTGATACCTTACTGTGGTAGGAGTGGCATTGACTCATCGTAAAAATGGCTGCGTGCGAGCTAACATCCACTGCGTTAATGGTTTTCTGTGTTGTGTGATTTAACTCTGTGTGGTGATTCCTCTGCCAGAAATGCTGTCTATCCCCAGGCTCCACCAAGCAGATACTAGCTCGGGTTTGTAAACTTATAAATGTTTCTGCGCCTAAAGCACCAAGTGCTGCTTTGTTTGGCGACAGAAAGAGCTCAGTGAAGAAATATGGGTGTCCAGTGTTACGAGACCGAGTGTTTCTCATCGTACACCTGCTTGTTGATTACTGCAAAACTCTTGTTCCGTTTGGGTTACTGAACTTATCTTGTTACCTACCCCTACCCCGACAAACGCAGCTTCTTGCAATGTTCTCTCTGATGGACTGTTAATTGCCCGTGAAAATTGCAAGCGGTGTTGAACTGGAGACGCCCGGAGAACTCTGAAAGTTCAGGCTCGGCAGCGCTTGTTGCTTTGGTATGTTAGCTTTAAATAAACTTCAATGCAGATGAAAAGTTTTAATTCTTGCTGCTCTAACTCTTCCAGCTTTGATGAAATGTACTGAAGTTTTCCTAAAAATTTTATGTGATAACGTAGACTTGCGAATAATTTGTTTGATCAAACAGATAAATTGGTTTATCGCAAATAGTATTCATAATTCTAGAAACCTAAATAAACTATTGAAAACATTTTTATGTTCGCATCTAAAATCTTCAATTCTTGCACGCAGAAATTTCTGTCACTATGATTTAAACTGGAATATTCAAGTTCTGTTTATTATTGCGTCTAATGTTCGGTACTTGATATACGCCTCCTAAATATACGACTTAAACTAGTTCCATAACATTTTCGTTTTTCCTAACCAGTCAGCCTTAAATTAATTCAATGTTCACCATAGGAATCGCTACATTTGAATATAAATACTATCAAATATTTTCCCAATTAGCGCTAAGAGAGCTATTGGTGTTTGAGAAATTTTGAAAGTGCTAACCAAAACTTTAAAAAAATCATTCTTAGAGTCAATTGTGTCTTAATTGTTGGTTCAAGGAAAGTTAGTTTACAGGCAACGAAACATATGACTAGCAGGGTCAGTAATTGCATCGAACCACAGCCGTTTTTAGTTTTAGGTTAAGAAAGAAAGATTAAGAATGTCTATCTTTTCTTCCTTGTCTCCGTGGAACGTGATAATCACAGAGGAAGTCAGACATAGCAACAGTAGAACTTGAATTTTTATTCGCCGTCGAGTTGTGGCGGGTAACATCGACCGCTATTTTTGCTAAATTTATTGTGTTTGAAACGATAACCTAGGCCGTTTTCGTCACCATCGAGCTTGATTCATAGCATATGATGTTCATGCATTTATTCTCTAGTGGATAGATAGAAACTCGAGAGGAAAGATCCAGTTCATTTTGACGGACTTTTTCAACAACCAACTCTAACTTGTGTTTTTGATTTTAGCATGGTTCTTCCGAGGTGACGTGGATTGAATTCAAGTAAATTCTGTAAGAATTCTGTCGATTTTTCCTCTGTGACCGATATCATCAAAGCTATGCATTACTTGTCATGTTTAAAAAGCTTACCTGGCAGTTATTTTCTCAGTTTGTCTCCTGCTACAGCGACAAACTTCGACTCCTGAAGCGTGGTATTTTCTAATATTCGCAAAGTAGTAACCGTGCCTCCTACGATGTCCCGCAAATTTGACGGCCTTGAGGTCGGGTGCATTGTTTTTTGCGCCAAATTCATTTTCTTGTTCCTTTTGCTTCTTCTTCCCCTCCTCCCGATAGCGTTTCATTGAAGTCTTCAAAAAAAATTGATTCCTGGTTTTGTCCGCTCCAGTGTACTTTTTACCCAAGTTTCCTCCAGTACAGGAGCATTCTCATAAAACTTGCCTCACTGACTTTGGCAACCGCTTTTTCCCGCCAAATTCGACGCCGTCTCGTCGGGGTTTTCGCGCCAAATTCAGTTTACGCTCCTTCTACTTCTCGCTTTTCTCTCAAACGGAGTTTTCGTTAATATGTCTGACTTCCGTTAAACAACGCTTGGTTTGCATACTCCATGTTGCCGTGTGTCTGTTTATTAGTAATACTGAGAGATGACCTCAAAATGTGGTTGAAACAAAAAAGTAGCCGAGTGTGCCACTGATGTTTTTACCCTATTTTGACGACTTCTGCGATCTTTTACGACGAAACAGGCGGATGGCAACATGGAATATGTTTTTTTTTATATATCATCAAAAATGAAAAGCAAAATGTCGTTAATGGTGACGTCGTTTATGCGTCTTTTCTCTAATAGATCATAGGTAAGAACCAATCAAAATGCGGCTACACAGCTTATCATATAATTTTGTGTCTTTTTTTTTTCTTAGTGGTTATTTGAACGGGACCAATCGCTATTGAAAAACTTCAACAACAAAAACAAAGTTCCAGTGGAAATCAACGTGTAGAGTAAAATTTATATTTACTAACGGGATATTTACGGATTGCAGATAAGCCAACTAATAGATTCTGACTTATCTGTTTGTAGACAATGAAATTAGTTTGTATTTGAAGCAAACATAGGTAACTCAGAATTTTCTTCACTACAGTTCATAGGATTGTGATTTAGCTTCCAAGCCATTTGCTTGTAGATAGACAGGTGGCAAAGCACGAACGACGTAACAAAAAGTTTTGGGAAGTGGGCGGGGAAGAAGACAGGAGCCCATTTAGAATATCCAGTCATATTTTCCTGATTTTCATTTTCCTTAATTTTTTGTGCGTGTAGGG